TTATGTGAAGGTAAAATAACAAACGGTGAATGTATTGCAGCCATGAAAGAAATGGCATTAAATAAATCCCCGGGGAATGATGGATTAAGTGTCGAATTTTATATACTCTTTTGGCCTTTGATAGGAAATTTAGTTGTAGATTCTGTAAATTCAGCTTTTGGAAAGAAGGAACTTTCCTCATCACAAAAGCAGGCGGTCATTAGTTTGATTCATAAAGAAGGAAAAGATCCCTTATTTATAAAAAATTATAGACCAATATCTTTATTGAATGTAGGCTACAAAATTTTGACTAAAGTGCTTTCTATAAGGATTAAAAAAGTTTTAAATGATTTAATTTCTGTCGATCAGGTGGGATATCTAAAGGATCGAAATATAGGTGAAGCAATTAGAATGATAGATGATATAATTCATCATACATCAGTCAATGAAATACCTGGATATATGATGATAATTGATTTTGAAAAGGCTTTCGATTCAGTTTCACATACTTTTTTGCAGAAGGTTTTGTTTACATTTGGTTTTGGACCATCATTTTGTAGATGGGTGGAGACTATATATAATAATGCTCAAAGTTGTGTCTTTAATGGGGGCTCATCTACTGGGTACTTTAATATTAAGAGAGGTGTTAGACAGGGGGACCCCCTGTCCGCATATTTGTTTATACTTTGTATAGAAATTTTAGCTCGTTCAATATATAAAGACCCTGAAATTCAAGGATTTACTTTTAATAACGTACATGTAAAACAAATTCTTTATGCAGATGATATGACTCTCTTTATTCGGGACTCAAATTCATTTAAAAAGGTGGGGGAACTGTTTGAAAATTTTGCTAGAAATTCTGGATTAAAAATTAATAAAGAAAAAACTTTTATATTATTGTTGGGCCCTTCTCAAAATGAAAATATTGCTCTTCCATTTGGTAAAGTAGTACAAATGGTCAAGATTTTGGGTATATATTTTTCTTTAGATGTTGAAATTCAGGAAAGGACAAATTATAAGGAAATTTTGAGTAAAATAAAAAAGTTGTTGTCTTGGTGGAAACAAAGAGATTTAACTTTAATGGGGAAAATTCAATTGATAAAAACATTTATTTTGTCAAAATTGATTTATGTATCGGCGCTGACACCAGTACCAAATTGGGTATTTACAGATTTGGATAAACTGGTTTTTGACTTTTTGTGGAAAGGAAATGATAAGATAAAGCGAAATGTAATGTTCTTGGATTATTGTAGAGGTGGACTAAGATTAACGGACTTTCATTTATTTATTTTAGTGCAGAGGATTATGTGGGTAAAGAGACTTTTAACGGGGGATGCAAACATGGGATGGAAACAATATTTTAATTATTTAACTAAAGATGCTGGAGGAATTTTGATATTTTATAATAATGCAACCGTAGGTATATCTGAATTAGTATTACCAGCATTTTATAGAGACATGTTGGATGTTTGGATGGCTACGAGAATATTTTTGTTAAAGGAAAGTGTTTCTAGGAGGAATGAGATTATCTATAGTAATAGATTTGTTTTTATCGATGGTCATGTTCCTTTTGATGAGGGATTATTTAACAAAAATGTGTATAAGTTGCATCATATTGTTGATAAGGAAGGTAATATAAAATCTAATGAGGAATTTCAAAGAAAAGGTTTAAATAGTTTAGAAATTAGTAAAATACAACATATTTTTCTTGGCATCCCGTCTTCATGGAAACAATTTTTAAATAAAAATACTCACTCAAATATAGATAGGGAATTAGATATGGATATTATTATGTTTGAAAAGGTATATATGTTCGATCAAATAACCTCAAAAATTATATACGCTTTTTTATTAAATAAGAGAGTAGAAAAATCGTATGCAGAACGACATTTAGAACAGACTTATAATATTCATGGAAAAGATATACAACTAATATTTTTAAGACTTAGAAAGTGCACATTGAATAGTAAGCTTAGAGAATTTCAATTTAAAATGCTTTATAATATTATATATACTAAATTACATTTATATACATTTAAAATGGTTGATAGTAATTTATGTTCTTTTTGTGGTAAATATGAAGAAACTTATGAGCATTTATTTTGTCTTTGTGAGAAAGTAAAACCAATTTGGGAAGAGTGTGGGAATTTATTTAATTTAGTAGAGATTACAAATATAAATTGGAAAGGTATCCATGTAGGGGTAGTTGAGTTTAACATAGGGAAGGAACAGTTATTAAATCATATCATAATTTTGATAAAATATATGATATTTATAGATAGTAAAAATAGACAAAAACCACCAACTTATTTGGAGATTAAGAAAAGATTATTAGAAAATAGAAAGGAGGAGAAGAAATTAGCTGGGGACCGAGGTACACTCACATATCATTTTAGAAAGTGGGACAATTTAGAATAGCTTCGTGCAGAATAGATAAAATAAGGAAAGCGAATAGAAGCAATGGAATGGACATGGCTGATATAATGGTCGAGATTCCCACAAAATGTAGGCATGTTTTAAGTGGGTGTCTGTGCACGTGTGTGTATGTGTGTATGTAAGTATTTTTCATTTTTTCATTTTTTTTCTTCTCTTAAATGTCTTTTTATGTTCATGCCTTTTTCATGCATGCATGTTTCATCCTTTATTTGATGTAAATAGCAAAAGTTCATTTGTATTATTTAGATGTGAATGTAAAATCATATTCTATATAATAATATTAACATGCAGATTTTTTTATGTATTGATTTTGTTATTGTTTGTGATAAGCAATGGAGAAAATGAAATATTATTGGGGAAAGGAAGAAAAGGAAAAAAACTTGTCAAATGCGGTCTAGCGCCATCTTTTGTTTAAAACATTATAGGAGTGTCTTGAACATTGGTGTAAGTATCGATGTAAATAGTAAAAGTTCTTTTGTATTATTTAGCTGTGAATGTAAAATCATATTCTATGGAATAATATGAACATGCAGATTATTTTATGTATTGATTTTGTTATTGTTTGTTATTATAAATTTTGTTCTTGTTTGTGAAAAGCAGAAAATAAAATATCATTGAAAACAAAAAAATGTTTCTTGACTAAAATCGACCGATTAGCTATTCCCGTTCGGAAATTATATACCACAACTACATATTCTGAGATTTTCATGGTCGCAGCTACCATTGTACGGCCGTAGGAGCTATTTGAAATTTTTCAAAATTTACAGGGAGCACCGGTAAATCTTTATATTTAATTTTTCTCGAAAGCAGAAGTGTTTTAGGGGCTAAAATTTCTAGTCCTTTTAATTCATCCCCAGAGGCATCCAAATATATCAAAATTGTAAAGAATCACTATGCACCCATTTTTCAAAATTTCCCAAAACTTTGTAATACCTTTAATTTTGGTATAAAATGTTACTTATTATATTCCTTCTACTGTACTAACCCTCAGACATGCAAAAAAATCCTGAACAAATTCTCAAACCACAAAGATATCTGTGTTTTTCTTTTAAGGCATCACTGTGCAGTGCAACACCTCACTCCAACAGTGATTAACAGTAAATTCCTAACCATTTTTGAATTTTCCCAACCGTTTTTCCAAGAAAAAAAAGACATAAAACAGGCTATTAGAAATCTTTCAACACTTAAATGTCAGCAATGGTATGTATAGAGCCAATGTATTGCCTTGTGACAATTTACATTCACCTAAAATGTAATTAAATTGTAATAATAGTTGGGAGAATTAAGGAATCAATCAGATTTTCCCAATTTGTATCATTAATAATGGTCCGTTTTTACTCAAATTTTCAGATTATCTTTAATTGTACATCTAGCATTGAAGTCACTACCTAAGCACCACTTTCTCTCATCTGGTTACCAATTACCTTTAAACATGTGCAAGTACAAGGGTATGAAAAGATCTTAAAGGAAACCTCACCCTAAAGATTAAGTGTAGGCCTTATGCTGAAATATGAGATTTATTACTGCCTATTGATGTACAATATTCCTTATTCCACCGTTTATTTTATTAAAGAAAAGGTTACAGTTCTTTGTTTCTCAAGTCGTTTATCCCCTTACATATCGTGCTTCTTATCTACTTAATGACACAAGCTTGTTCACCCATTTACATCAACAACCACTCACTTAATTATGTCTAATTTTTTTTTCTTCTTCACTTGGCGGCCAGAGGGGGGGGGGGGGGGGTTAAAACGCCGAATCCCCCCTCCCCCTAGATCCGCCCCTGAGTAGGAGAGGGGTAGGGAGAAGGAAAAAGGATTATTTAAATTACTCTAACTTTAAGAGTCTTTTATCAATAAATTGTTCTTAAGAGTTTTCCCTTGTCCCTCCAACTACATAGTCTATCTCAAAGCCACTTATTTATCAATCAACTATCCCCTTTGGACTCATAATTTCTTCAAAGTGGCTACTTTCAAGTTTAGGCACTAATCAGCATGTTCACACTCGTCTTTAATCCCAGTGTATTCCACCATGCTACACCTATATCAAATACGTGTCATATCTGAATGAACCTTAAAGAGAAGGTCGAGTTCTGGGAAGAGGTGAAAAATAATTTGTGAGCGTTATCATTGTTATTATGCAAGTGTGGAGGAACATCAGATAAAACATGTTCCCTGAAAAGCATGGCTCTTCAAATGCCTTCATATTCTAAATATGGCATGTAACATTGTAAAAATCGGGATGGATTTTTACGCCACATGTTCGTGTAGTCCCATATACATCTTTCTGTGTACAGTGCTTGTAACTTTACCAATAGTTGGCCAAATTTTTTATCATGTTGATGATTCCATAACCTTGCAATACACACGAATACTTATATGCTAGATGATCAACCTTTTCTGATTGATTCCACATGTACCGTTTCTTTCACAATGCAATTGCATGACCAGAACTCAACTTCATCTTTCATCATTAATTGTAACTCGCTTACTTTGATAAAATGATTATAGAGTATCTTTTAGAATACAAACGTCAGCACTCAATGCATCACAAGGCAGAAATACAAATGTAGTCTGACTCGGTCTGTATGCAAATATAGTAACATATCTTTAATAAATTGAAAGCAAGAATAAAGATGTTGACATTTACTGGAATTTAATGTGTAAATATTTTGAGGTAGATGAGATAATAGCAAGCAACTCTCGGCATGGTCAATGATGACATGTACAGGGTGGACAAACATAAATCCACAACCAGAGACCTGCAATTCAAATGATATCATCGACATTGGTTTCTTTTCATTGTGTAGAAAATTCCTATCCAAGTAAAATGATGCCAAGATCATAAAATTGGGGTAGGGCATGTTGATTATACAGCTATACATATATTTTTTGTGAGGTGATGTTGTTTTCAAAATATACTATTTATGCAATAGTAGTCTTGCTTGAACCATGCTTAAAGCTAGGTGACCCTATAATTGTCATTCATTTAATAATGGTCATCTATAGCAAGGTGACCCTGTAGTAGTCATTCAATGACCAATGGTCATCTGAAGCTAGGTGACCCTGTAATAGTCATTCAATGAGGAAGGGTCATTTAAAGCTAGGTGACCCTATAATAGTCATCCAATGACCAATGATCATCTAAATCTAGGTGACCCTGTAATAGTCTTTCAATGAGCAATGGTCATCTAAAGCTAGGTGACCCTGTAATAGTCATTCTTTGACCAATGGTCATTTAAAGCTAGGTGACTGTGTAATAGTCATTCATTGAACAATGGTGATTTAAAATCTAGGTGACCCTATAACAGTCATTCAATGAACAACAGTGATTTAAAATCTAGGTGACCCTGTAATAGTCATTCAATGAGCAGCGGTCAAAGCTAGGTGACCCATTAAAAGTCATTGAGCAATGGTCATCTAAAGCTAGGTGACCCTTTAATAGTCATTCAAAAAGCAATGGTCATCTAAAGCTAGGTGACCCTATAATGGTCATTCATTTTAATAGCAACGTTCATCTATATAGCAAGGTGACCCTGTAATAGTCATTGAAAAAGCAATGGTCATCTAAAGCTAGGTGACCCTGTAATAATCATTCAATGAGCAAAGATCATGTAAAGTTAGGTGAGTGACCCATTAAAAGTCATTGACCAATGGTCATCTAAAGCTACGAGACCCTGTAATGGTCTTTCAATGAGCAATGGTCATCTAAAGCTAGGTGACCCTTTAATATTAATTTAATGACCAATGGTCACCTATAGCTGGGTGACCCTGTAATGGTCTTTCAATGTCCAATGGTCATCTAAAGCTAGGTGACCCTGTAATGGTCATTCCTCTCTGTTGAATGGACAGTCCAGCTGCATAATGACCGCATCGTATACACTCTTCAATGGTCTTGTGCTGAACTAGCTGGGACAGAAAACCTACAAAATAAATGAAAAATATACCTAATAATTGAGAGGAAAGATTATAAGCCACAAATGTAAATGCCTAAATTACAAAATCCAATCCACAACATAGCCTAGATGACTATCTTTAATACTTTCATAGATTATTTAAAGATTTTTTTAAATTTTATATCACATTTTGTGACAACTGAAGGGCATTTCATGTTCTAGTGTTACACTCATTACAAAAATTGTCCCAAAGTAAAAGGTGAACTGGATATCATTAAGTCTTTGTATGCCACAAAAGTAATCTCCTTTTCCCCCATTGTATTTATCATGGCATAGATATACCAAAGGCTTCAAGATTACTTTGCTGTTTCCAGTACAAAATTATTCTACATGTACATTGGTGTTAAAATGGTTGTCATGGAGCTTATCAAGATTGGAAAATCAATGTGTTGCCAAGACCAATCCTTCTATCAACTGGTGTATAATGTTTTGTTCAATTGCATGGGTGGCAAACCAGTGACCATGCAGATAGGCAAAGAACAACTGAAGTATTAACCATAAAATCAAACTTACACAGTTTAACAACATTTCACAGGCACACAACTGAACATGAACAAAAACCTTTATGATAGACTCACCACCAACAAATGCATCACCTGCACCACAGGTATCAACTATCTTATCCTCCGCAATCCTTGGCACTTCAAGCGATCTCACTGCGGTACCTGCATCAGTAAAAAAACAAAAAAAAAACACCTGGGTGAAGAGTGGAAAATGAAGATTAAATATAATAATAATAATATTGGATATTTATATAGCACACATATCAACCATACATGGTGCTCAAGGCGCACCAACTATTACCCTGGCTCTACTAGGCAGCAGATTTCGGCGCTCACAGCATTCAAGGAGTTCCTTCCTACCGGTACACATTTAACACCTGGGTGGGGAGCGGCAAATGTAGATTAATATCTTGCCAAAGGACATTAGTGCCGTGGCGGGACTCGAACCGCGGACCCGGTGACCCAGTCCAACGACTTATCCATTAGACCACAACACCTCTACTTGCCCAGGGCTAAGGAGATTAGTGCAATGGGGGGACTTGGACCATGAACCTTGTGATCCATAGTTCAGTGGACTTATACACTAGACCACAGCACCTCTTATTCTTATTTCATTGCATATCTGATCAATAAACATAGCTTCAAGAGTAAGAGCAGGTGACAAATCTTTCATTAAGATTTTATCCTGGTTCCTCATAAAGTAATTTTCTTCACATGGCCTAAAAGTTGTCTACTAGCAAGTATAATTCCCTCATTAACTTGGCAGCACGTTTAGAGATTCAAAATCATTGTTTTTTAAATCAAAATTTGCAAATTTTGAACTTGCTGACAACATTCCTGCCCATGTGTATTGTTTTCAGAGATATTGCAGTTTATTTTAAGAAAGTAGCAATTAAAAAAAAAATCTTATTGTTGCCAATTTGAAGAATAATCTGAGAGATAAATTTAGCACTACAATAAATCCTGTCCTAAAAGGGAGTGAGAATTTATGATTTGCTTACCATTGCACCATAGAGTGGGTTGTGAACTATGAGTAATTATGACATGTCTTGTAGGATTCTCTGTTTTTGATGGAATTCTACTCATTTTCATCATCACTGATTCCTCCGTGTCCTAGAAAACAGACAGAATCATATTTATTTTATACACTCAGCAAAACAAAAGAAAATGGACACTTTATTGTTCAAAATGTTCATATAAACTGTCGATTGAAAATATACTAAAATACGTATAAAATTAAAGAAAATACTCTACCAAAATTCTCTTCTACGAATTGTGATAATTTGTCAGTGTACACTTCTTTTTTTATATATAATTCTGCTGTGACATGATCTTCGTTATTGTTTAACCAATGGAAAAAGAATTTTCTGTTGTTTCAAAGATGAATCAATAAATTCAATTCAATTCACTTAAAACCACTCACTTGCCAATCCAATGCACTAGCATATGCTTGAAGTTCCTTTAGATAAAAAGAGAAAATTATACATATTTCAATGAATCAGAGATGTGAGAAACTATGAGTCTCTTCATAATATTCAATTATATAGTGTGAATATTGACAAAATAGATAAAATAAACAAAACAAATATTCCAATGAGATTCCTCCCAATCTCTCTGTTCTATATCTATCTCCCTCCCTTCCTTTCTCTCCATCTCTCTTCAAGACGATTTTTGCGACATAATAATGATATACTCTAACTCTCATCACCAGAGAGAGAAGGGCTACATACACAGGGCTCAAAATTAATTTTTTGTCCACAGGGGCTCTTCCAAAAAAAAAAGAGCCCCTGTGAGCCTTCTCACTTACTTACTTACTAGTCTCGTCATGATAACTATCAATAAATGCCATAAGTGAAAAAGATACTAAGGATAATATTTACAGATTGATATTCAATACTTCTGTTTCATCCACGATAACCCATTGTAAAACATCTTAACAGTTCTGTAGTCGGTGAACTCTGTTAAAGGTAATACAAAGTTTTGGGAAATTTGAAAATTGGGTGGAAAGTGATTCTTTACAATTTTGATATATTTGGATACCCATGTAGATGTTTTATAAGCACAAGAAAAATTAGCCCCTAAAACACGTCTCCTTTTGAGAAAAATTTAACATAAAAATTTACCGGGGCCCTGAACAAGCCTTTAAAGTAACAAATAAAAAGAAGAAACTATTTCTTACTGCTTTATTTCCGAAGACATATTGTGCATGTTCTATCATCTGCGTTAAGAGTTGAGATGACTGTTCGCACACATACACTGCAGACAGGTTCATTGTTAATACTTTGTTTTCTCTTCGCGCAAAGTCGGCCAACTCCCTGCTTATGGATGGGTATGTGTGGATGAAATAACCCTAGAATGGAAAAAAGGAAAATAAAAAGCATAGTAAGATAGCAGTGGCACTAAAAGACGTGTACGGAACACAAACTGTGTTATTGTAATGTCCTTTGACTACCTGTCCTTTGGCAAGACATTAATCTATATTTGCCACTCTTCACCCAGGTGTTGAATGGGTACCGGTAGGAAGGAATTACTTGAATGCTGAGAGCATTTAAATCGGTAGTCCAGCAGAGCCGGGGTTAAATTGGACTGCTTTGAGCACCTTGCAGGGTGGATATGTGCGCTATATAAATATCCAATATTATTATTATTATTGTTGAAATACATTATTTCATCACACAGAGGTAAAACCACATCGTTAGGACATGGAGCTGGTAAATGCATCTTGATGAGGTTTAAAGCCCCACTGCACTACTTATAGCTACTTGTGCCCTCTATATAGCAAACAATGCCTAATCGGTGACCGCTGGTCCCCCATGATCCCCCTTTTCTTATGTTAATTGAGAGCTGATTTGATGAGATAACCACCTGTCAGTGACCACAAGTATTTGGCATTTGGTATTCCGGATGCATTTTTACGTACCCCTACGTTTCGCTTAGCTACCTCAGGAATAATGAGTATAAATTTGCACAAAAATAATAATAATGATAATAAGAGTAGTACATGTAGTAGTAGTAGTAGTAGTAGTATACTTTATTGCATAACTCATTTAGCACAATGCTTATCTGCAACTGATTGGCTTTTCTTTCTTGGGACACAAGAGCATATCACAATCATTTTGCAATTATTTCACTCATTGTGCAGACTCAATGATATAAATACATGTACCCTGTAGTGTACAATGTCAAACTTAATATATTTACATTAAATGAATCCATTTTGAATTTTAAACAAGCTTTTCAAGACCCAAAGTATTTAATGTTACAAATTGTGTGTTTTAAATTGGCCTCAGCACTGAAATAGTTTATGGGATACTTCTTGCAAAATAAGGATAAAACAAAAAAAAAAAAGTTTTTGAAGAATTCACACATCTTACCACTAGATAGAAACATGAAGCACTTTTGATATGCCTCCAAGTCTCATCCTCGAAAATGAAATCTGATGAGAGATGCTTGGCTGCAGCATAGTTTGATACCAGACATCTGAATGACAGACAAAAGAAATTGAAATCTGATGAGAGATTCAAATTGGCCGCTGCTTAGTTTGCTAATAGACATCTGGAAGACAGACAGCAGAAATTGAAATCTGATGAGAGATGCGTGGCTGCCATCTGAATGACAGACAACAATAATTGAAATCTGATGAAAGATGCTTGGCTGCTGCAAAGTTTGCTAACAGACATCTGAATGACAGACCACAAGAAAGGAGAATATCAGGGGTGATAGTGAGCACTAAAAAAAAATAGGTTTTTTGTTTTCCCCTCAACCACGCCCCCCTTGAGTAAAAAAAAAAAGAGGATTCGCGGGGGAAAATGGCATCTAACAACATTCTCCCCTTTCGAGTAAGAAAATTGGGACAAAATTGGGAAAAATATAGGGCAAAATATGGAAAAATAGAGAAAATAAGAGGGAAATCAGGAAAATCAGGATAAAATAGGGAAGAAAAAAAAATTGGTTTAAAATTATTTTTTTAAATTTTTTAAAATTTTTTTGATTTTTTTTTTTTTTTAAATCGGGATGAAAGAAAAAAATCAGGAAAAAAAAAAAAAAAAATTGGGAAACCGATTTAAATCGGGGTTTTATCAGGCCTAGAATATGATGAGAGATTCTTGGCTGCTGCGAAGTTTGCCAAAAGACATCTGAATGAATGACAGACAAAATAAATTGAAATCTGATGAGAGATGCTGGGTTGCTGCAAAGTTTGCTAACAGACAAAGAACAACTTCAATTAAAGGTATTACAAAGTTTTGGTATGGGGTCATGAATTCGGTTCAAATTAAAATATTGGGAGCATATACGTTCCTACAATATTCATTGATCGTTGTCGCGGTTGAAATCGAGTCTGAAGTTATGAAATTATAAATAATAAACTCTTTATGTTGTATAGCTCCCTCTCAAGGTCAAGCTATTAATTTAGCTTTGAAACAATGTTTCTTGACTAAAATCGACCAATTAGCTATTCCCGTTTGGAAATTATATATCACAACTACATATTCTGAGATTTTCATGGTCGCAGCTACCATTGTATGGCCATAGGCGCTATTTGAAATTTATCCAAATTTACCGGGAGCACCGGTAAATTTTTATATTCAATAAAATTTTTATATTCAATTTTTCTCGAAAACAGAAGTGTTTTAGAGGCTAATTTTTTTAGTGCTTATAATACATCCACAGGGATATCAAAATATATCAAAATTGTAAAGATTCACTATCCACCTAATTTTCAAAATTTCCCAAAACTTTTTATTACCTTTAAGCAAATATCAGTAACTACATGTATGCCTTTTGAGTTCCAGACGCGTCTTTTCGTGGCACTACTTTTCATCAAGGCGCCTCACCTGTGTTGTCCTGTAATAAGTACAGCACATGTTCCTGTCGGTTGCGTGGGGTGGACTTGATACTGGACGTACACTCCTTCTGATTGTGACTTATCGGTCAGTATCTTGCCGAACGCATCGTCTCCAATACATCCAAATGACATGGTGATGTTAGGAATACCTAGAAGCCACTGTGTGGAGACATGATTAGACAGGCCTTTTAAGGAAAACCCAACATTAAAGTGACTGGGTAACATTACCTTAAACTTGATATTTACATTAAATTAATCAATTGTGAATTTTAAACAAGCTTTTCTAGACCCAAAGTACTTAATGGCTGATCGTCAATGAAACGGAGTTCAGTCTTTTGTCAACTCTCGTTTGTCGCTACGACAGGCAGCCAGTGAGAAAAAAAAATTATTTAATCAAATCATCGAAATTCAAGCATTAAACAAACAGAACTTTGTTATTCCTGTCTCATTTTTCCTGATTGAGGTGTCATATGAAAGGGCAGAAAATGAACTTTTTAGAAATGTGATTTTATCTTTGAAATTCAGATACCGCCCGCCAAATGACTTTTTGGTTTCCTCTCTTCAAATTGCTTTTCATCACTCATGCGTGAGATATGAGTTGAGTTGGATCAAATGAAAGAAGAAGATCTAAGCTTTCCAAATATGTGTCATTTATTAATTATAATTGTGATTAAGTTATGATAAAACATTGATAATTCTTGGTTTCGTTTTTTCTGGGACGCACTGTATATACACACACATATATAAATATATATATATATATATATATATATGTGGGTATTTATTTCTCTATTGTGTTTTGTTGCTGCCATCTGTTTTTATTAATGATTGTTATTGAATAGCACTGTTACCAAACAGGACCTCATGGAAGACCACCATACTTGGTGAAATGTGCCACCCTGTATAAATGTCAGAAATAAATGAATAAATAAATAAACAACCGTAGACAGCATACCTGGGCAATTCTAAGAGCGTTGGGGACAGCTCCTCCCGGAATGACCTGTACTCTAGGATGACGTGAAAGCTCATCGTATAATACTTTCTGTTCTTCGGTGGCTTGGTTTGAACTGTCACATTCTAGACCGTATCTATTAAAGGCAATGAAACAGATTCAACAGAAAATTTAACCTCGATATTACTAAAAGAATGCAGAATGAGTAGAAGAGAAGACTGGTGGGAGTTTGAACAAAATCGGACAGAAAATAATAAAGAGAGTTGTTATTTTTTCAAAGTTGTACCGGTTATCATAGATAGAATTTCAGAGTTTGAACAAATAAATTGGACCCCAAAAAAGAGAGTTGGTAATTTTCAAAAGTTGTTATCACTTACCTATATGCATATGGAAATTTCAGAGTTTGAACGAAATCCAACGGAAAATAAAAAAGTTGTTAATTTTGTTAAAGTTGTAATCACTACGGCTACGCATATATGGGAATTTAAAAATGGCTGAATCGGTAATTTCACTGTGATTTGGTGTCAGACGACTGTGTATGGAAACTTACCTATCAAGTAATCTGTCATCTACATCCGCTATGAAATCTAGAAGTGGAATTCCAAATCCTGCAATTTTACCTGGACTGGGTGAAAATAATATTTTTCATAATGATTTTTCCTGATTGCCAAAGAGAAAGGGATTAAGGGAAACAATGAAAGGGATTAAGGGAAACAATGCATGGGAGGGAGATTTGGAGGGGAGCTAGGTTGAGAGAAATGTAGAGAGGGAGGAAAGATGTAGGGAGGGAAGAACTTCAAGGAAGACAGAATGAAAACTATGGAGACTGAAAGAGTGAAAGAAAGAGAGAGAGAGAGAGATAGAAAAAGAGAGATAAAGGAAAGATAGAAAGAGAGAGATAAAAGAGAGATACATATAGATATACCGGTACACTTAATATATGTATATGGAAAGAGAGAGAGAGAAAGAGAAAGAGAGAGAGAGAAAGAGATAGATTTAAAGAAATAGAAAAAGATAGTTTGAGAAAGACAGATGCGCCTATTCCGTTGGGCAAATAACACACCATCCTCGCTAAAATGGAGGCAGTCCTTTCATTTATACTTGTTGATGGTAGTATTTTCGATTAGTGGAGACTGGAGACATGCATATTGTGGTCTGTGTGGGATGCATGTAGGGGAGGCCTGGGAGGAAAACGAAATGCTTGAAGAACAAAAATATCAAAAAACATGCAGAATCTTGATTAATAAGGGAGTTACAGTAACCGACCTGACGTCTATGACATCATTGTGTCAGGGGTCAGCTGTACGCGCACTCTGAACGCAATATGTGTGGAGAAGATACGTAAGCAATGCATATAAAACGTGTGTAAATTCTATGACATTTTTACCTGTCATTTTTACCTCTGCCATTTTTACCTCTGCCATTATTTCCTCTATTTTTAATTCTGCCATTTTTACCTCTGCCATTCTTACCTCTGACATTTTACCTGTGCCATTTTTACCTTTGACATTTTACCTCCGACATTTTTATCTCTGACAGTTTACCTCTGCTATGTTTACCTCTGCCATTTTTACCTCTGCCATCTTTACCTCTGCCATTTTTACCTCTGCCATAATTACTTCTGCCATAATTACCTCTGCCATTTTTATTTCTGCCATTTTTACCTCTGACATAGTCTAGGCCCTATACCTTTGCCATTTTTACCTCTGACAATTATCTCTTATATTTTTAAACCGTGCCCCACTGACTGCCAGCCAACTCTATGGGGAAGGTTGACAGATCTATGTCAGCTCAGTGCCGATAGACCGAATTTTCCGTCTCTTTCGTTCGTTAGGAGCCGACCCTACCCAAATTAGAGGCTTAACGAACAAAACAGTCAAAACTTCAAAAGAGACAGAACATTCGGTCTAGACTGTACAGCTACTACTACTAGTCTAAAGTATTACGCATGATTTTGAAGGCTTCAATGTAATGTCTAACCTAGTAAAACAAAGTACCAAATAGTTCTACAAGTTATTAAAAATAAACGAGACTAAATAGTTACCTGACATCTACGTTTGCCATGATTCATTGGTACCCATACATGTTAAAGATTATACTGCATTTACAGGTGACGTGCACAAACTGCTGGAAGTTGTATTGTTGACCACGGCCGCGTTTATTCAATCAGCTGTGCAGTGGCGACTATCAGGTGATCTCTGTCTGCATCTGAACGACTAGACCTAGTCGCTTTTTTAAGACCTTAAAATGCGGGAAATCGTTCGATTGTGATTTTGGGGTGATATTTCTGAAAATATCAAAATTCATGTATAAAAGTATTTTTTTTTAATGGAAAATATCATCATAAAGTTGCAATTGAACTCACAATACGGCTTGAATATAATAACTAGAGTCTAATAGTGTACGAATGAACAAAGGTTAGTAATACTAGACTATACCACGCATGTACCGTTACGTTAATCCGGTAACGGTAAACGGATGTTGTTCATGATCATGCATGGTAACTTATGGACGAAGATTTGGGAATAAATATAAAAAGCATTTAGCATTACTTGGCCTAGATGTCTTCCGTTGAATGACAAGAGCTACAGTGAGTCTAATGTGTTGTAATATCTTCCATTTTATAATCTGCATGGTTTTTGTCACCTAACTCGGTTTCTGAATTTCGTTCTCATTGAGAATCTTCGCTTAGACTTGTTGGCTTCTGTTTTGAAATGACCGGCTGACAATCACTTTCTAATTCTATTGCCACGTCACGTGTACTTGTATACGGTACTACTAGAAAGTGGTACGCGAGACGTTCTGGGGTGAGACGACGGTGTCAAGCGCTCAACAACTAAGAGTGCTCAGCTCGGCCTCAGCTCAGCTCAGCTCCAAAGTCCAATCCGATTCATCAAGGTAAGATGTATTTCTTCTTCATCTTCTTCCTCCAGTAATAAACAGTTTAGTACAGAATGCCGCGCCGTTGGCGTACCTTGTGCAGTTGTGCTTGTCAAGTGCCAATACTACAGTCACAGTGCAAGTAAAAAGGCTCCACAACTAAATTACAAGAATTTTATGTGGAGCTAAAATTAAAAACAGTCTGGACTGAAGCTCAACGGAGCAATAATGCGTTGCACCTTCTGTTTAAAAAGTCCAAAGAGGTGCAACAGACGATAATCCCTCTTGACCACACTAGTACAGACGGCCTTTAATCTATCTTCTTGGACTTTTTGGAGGACTTTAGATTTACCTACATTGAAGAAGTCGTCGGCCAGGTGGCAGAAGGGCGTGAGCGCGCGAGCGAATCAAAAACTACTTTTTGAATTATTCGCAATTAAACATTTGTTTTATATTTAAACTGCTTTCGGTCCTGAAAAATTGGTTTTGAAACATAAAAGATTAATAAAAATGTTGTAGTAGAACACAGCCACAATTTTTTTCTCGGAAATAGATCTAAGTAAGTTTTTATAAAGTTTGAGGCGATTTAGTGCTAATGCCCTTCTGCTTAAAGTTTCATTATTGACCTGAAATTCGAGCTAACGCCCTCCTGCCAGCCAGGCGACGAAGTGTTGGCTAACCTACGAATGTCTGGTATATTTTTTTTGTGGTGGGCCAGGGTGTTCTGAAGTTGCTCCAAAACCAGAATAATTTTAATAATGTCATACACATTGTTTAATGTTACAGGTCTTGAGAGACTGACCTGCCAGGATGAGTCTAGCCGCGGCCTGTTTCTACGGGGTTTGCTCGGGTTCCATGTCGTTCATCAACAAACTGGCCATGAATACTTACGGTTTCAACTACCCCGAGATCATCATGCTGGCCCAGATGGGCGTTACCGTGGCAGCCCTCAAACTTGTGCACCTCCTGGGTAAGGTCAATCTGCCGAACTACACCAGGGAAAACGCTAGACTCTGTTTATTTCCCTCGCTCTTCTACGTCCTGAACTCCACCTTTGCGTTGAGCGCACTCAGCGGAATGAATATTCCAATGTACAATGTTTTGAAGAGGACTGGGCCATTGTTCTACATCTTTTTAGCTGTGTGTATACTAAAGAAAGGATGGCCGTCTGCCTCTACCATTGGAGCTGTAGTGTTGACAACTAGTGGATGTATTGTTGCTGGTAAGTCTTTCATTCCTCATTCGTCCATATTTACATTTAAAGCCCCACTGCTCTACTTATAGCTACTTGCGCCCTCTATATAGCAAACAATGCCTAATCGGTGCCTGTTGGTCCCCCATGATCCCCTTTTTCTTATGTTAATTGAGAGCTGATTTGATGAGATATATATATAGCCAGTGACCACCCTGGGTGATCTAATCCCTCCTAGCCAAACTAGTGCAGAGGGGCTTTAACTCTTTAAATGCCACACTAAAAAATCTCCCTGTTTACCATATATAGTTATCATAAACTCCTTTAAAAAAGTTCTGCAATTCAAGTTTGAGTATTGCTTGTTACTATTCATGTTTATTTTACTATACTTTGCTATCAATGAAAAGCTTGTTTTATTGCCCTTTACAATAGTACACCTGAACATGGGGCCAAGTCATAGGAAAATGTTACAAAATGCATTGTTATACAGGCTTGTCAATGATATCAATGTCAATATAGCAACAAGAGAGATATCAATGCTCAAACTTGAATTGCAGAACTTTTTTGAGGATTTGATCATGCACACTGTACATTGTACATGTACATGTAGATTTACACCTAAGGACTTCAAGATTATTTAACTGTTTCCTATGCAAGAATAATCTTAGATTCTTAGTGCAATAGATCTGCACTGAAAAAGGGTTCAGTGTCATATTTACATGTAGCTCTAATTTCACAACAAGAAATGGGTAATGTTGCAAGCCATTTTATTGCACAAAGCAATCCTTCTGTAATTGTTACCTGTTGTCCTGCTCTGAGTTCCAGGGCTCAAATTAATTTTTTGTCCACGGGGGCTCTTCCCCCCAAAAAAGAGCCCCGTGAGCCTTCTCACGGGGGCTCTTTTAGTGCTGACGGGGGCTCTTATTTTAATACAAATTTCCATTGAGTTGGTACCCATGAAACTCCTAAATTCCTTGGTATTTTATCATTATCATTTATTTAAGTCAGCATTTTCCCTCTTAGAAATTTACTTGTTACATAGCTGTATACTTTTATCCCCGTGATCAGTGGCGGATCCAGGGGGGAAAAAAAAGAAGGAAAAAAAAAGGGGAAAGATTTTTTTTTTTGCTGTTGAAAAAAGTGTGCCCATCCCACTTGTATCACAGAGAAACAACAGTTTAAGTTAAGTCTAACTTTAACGTTAAATTTTTTATTAAAATGTTGAGCACAGCCCTTGGCCTTAGGCCTAATTTAGATCGTAACTGTTACTGTTTGAAAATCTAAAGTAAAATTAGACGGTTTTCATGATTATAGACCAAGTAATTGAGAAAAAAAAAGTTTACCCATCACTGAGACCAGGTCAATCAATCTTCTAGATCCATTATTAGGGTCTAACGTTAGTAGATATAATGTAGATGCAGGCGCGGATCCAGCGGGGGTGAGCGAGCCTTGCCCCCCCCCCCCTTCGGCAAAAGAGAGAGAGAGAGAGAGAAGGAAAAGAAGGGAAAGGGAAAGAGGAGAGAAAGGGAAAGAAAGAAGAGGAAGAAGAAAAGAAAAGGGGGAAGAAGGAGATCGGGGGAGGGTGCGAAAGGGCCTTGCCTCCCAGGCTGTTGCCTCCCCACGCCCCCGCTAAAAAAAAAGAGAGAGAAGGAAGGAAAGAAAAAAAGGAGAGCTAAAAGGGACCAAAAAAGAGGAAGAAGAAAAAAAAAAGGGGTGAAAAGAATTTCGATGCGGTGTTCGAGTAGAATTCTGTGAGATGATGATATACTTCCTCGTAGCTTGATGTGACGAGGTGTCTCTATCCAGATATCTGTTGATAGTATTATAGAATATAGAAGCCTGAAATGACCTTCTGCTCGTAACCGACAAGTCACCGCATTAAAATTAAATTGCAAATAGTGTTCAACAACACAATGGTGGATGAAACTTTCTAATATTCGAAGATATATGACCTTCAGACCATATTGTTTCATTATTTTTTATTCAATCAATCAACGTCAAAGAATTGATTTATCATCGCTCTTCAATTTATTATTTCACCTTTTAATGTACTTTCATTCTTATGAATCACGAAAGAACACTGAATTGGATTCTTCAATGTTTGTTTTGATTAATTTCCTCCTCCTTTCCTGTTTAATACTGATAAAATTTCGATTTTTCTTAATCAAGGCAAAATATTATTTTCATATTTTCTTTATGCAAGACAGGAAGAGAGAGAGAGAGAGAGAGAGAATATGTTAAGTGAGAATTATCGAGTACAACTATGAATTGCATCCCTTTCAATATTATTCAATTCGCTGAAAATATTCAGAATATGAGTATGATAAATCCACATAATACACCAACGCTGTTCAACACATCCAACGCTCCAACCATAGCCCATACGCCTCCCCCCGCCCCCGCTAAAAAAAAAGAGAGAGAAGGAAGGAAAATGAAAAAAGGAGAGCTAAAAGGGACCAAAAGAGAGGAAGAAGAAAAAAAAGGGTGAAAAGAAGGGGAGATAGAAAACCTAAAAGAGAGAGAAGGAAGGGAAAGGAAAGGGAAAGAGGAGAGAAAGGGAAAGAAAAAAAAGAGGAAGAAAAAACGAAGGGGAGATCAGTTGCCAACAAAGTGTAAATCAGGGGGGGGGGGGGGCACTGGCGTACTGATTGGGGAGGGGGCTCGGGGGAAATAAAATTCAAACGTGGTTTATTTCTGATTCCATAACGGTGGTTTACACATAATGCTGAAATGACATAATTTTCCGAGATTTTTTAGGAAATTATACTTTTTTATGCGTTTGTTGTAGAAGGACAAATTCCTAAATTTACAGCCAGACAAGAAATATGCTTCTTGAGATGCCTAGGGGCCTACCCGTCAGGGCCCGCGGAACGGCGGGGATTGGGAGCCTTGAGGTCCCTCCCCCCCCCCTCCACTTTTTTAAAATAGTATATAAAGAGAAATGGAAAGAAAGAGAGCAAGTAAGAAAAAATTGTTAACTGCCAGTGTCACAACAAAATAAGGTATTAACCGTAATTAAACGCCTAAAATCCCTGGGCTTCCGGGGCTCTGGCCCTGTACCCAACCGAGGGCCTGATTTTTTGGTGCTATTTTGAACCCCCGTTAGTGATGTTTTCCTGGCATCTACTGAAATCTACTTCTACTGTGTAGGTCTGGACACATGATAGCATTTTTCTATGCACATCACATTTTCACTTGGCAGCCCAAGGGGGATCGGGGGATTAAACCCCCTAAACCGCCTAGATCCGCCCCTGCAACATCTTTGCTGATCTTCTTCTCAATATTGATTTATTGGTCGAGTTACATTATTTGCTGGTCTTTTAGAACAACCAGATTTCAGAGGATTCACACTTTTCACAACGAAAAACTTCTCCATGTTTCAGTCCTTGCGCGATCGTCTCCAGCTCCAGCAGATATTGGGCGTCAGCGTGCACACCGGTACTACCGGCACAGTATGACGGCCGCATTACATGTAGCTGTGCACTGCGAGCTTCCGTTGTTTGTATCGGTAATACTCATAGAGATGGGAGGGAAAGCGCCATCTAAGTTCCATTTCATTGGTTTAAGGTTTGAAAATTGATACTCAATATTGTGTTAAAGTTATATAAGAAAAGATAATCTTCTTTTTATAATTCCACGGGGGCAATTTTTTATCTTGCAATCGCCCCCGTGGGCAACCTGACGGGAGCGATTATGGAGCTCACGGGGGCGAATCGCCCATCGCCCCCGTGTATTTTGAGCGCTGGTTGCATGGATGGCAAATGAATGAGTGACCGTGTAGAGAGGCAAGGAAAAACGACCATAGTGTTCAAATATTTAGTAATACATGTATGTCTGGAATCAATGATATATAATAATTATGATTGATTATGATTATGTATCTTATGTTTCACAAGAACAATCAATAATTTTGGCATGAGAATTTTCCTAGATTGATTCATATAAATGCCTTAATTACCAAATGTAAATCACTGATCATAAGATCTTAAATGGATTTAAGTATTTATATTTCCTTCGAATGAATCATCAATTTGATACAAAAATAGCAACTTTGATAGTTTGATTAATGAAATTGGCCTTAAATTTGGCAGAAATTGAAAGTTTTAAATTTAAGCCAAAAATCCCTGTTTTCTTTGAATGAATAATCATAATTAATCATAAAAATAGCAACTACTGTACAGTATGATTGATGAAATTGGCCATTCATTTTGGCAGTGATTGAAATTTTGTAAATATAAGCCAGGAGAAAAATAAAGGCACATCATGCCAAGTCACCTATTGATTACATTGACCTTGCCATTTAAGTTCACAATGCATGGAAGCAACAGCCAACAGGGAACCTTGATAGAGCTAGCCTATACTATTATTCTTTCATTTTAATTTAAAGGTAAAGACCAGTGATGGTCATGCGATTGCATTGTAAAAGAAACGTTGTGGAATCGATCAGAAAAGGTTGATCATCTAGCATCTAGCATCTGCAAGGTTCTGGAATCATCAAAATGATAAGAAATTTGGCCCATTCTTCGTAATGTTACAAGCATTATACACAGAAAGATGTATATGGGACTACCCTATATCTCTCACAGACCATGAGAGAAACAAATTTACCAAATATATGAATTAGTAGGCGGTTTCCTGGCAAATTTGTTATCATCATGTATTAGTCAAAACGTATTCTTTCACATGATTGGTAATGAGAGCTTCCATTTCATTTTTTGAAATTGGGGCGTTTCCAATACTGGTCTTTACCTTTAATACTCACAACTAGTACTCACAACTATTTATATACACTGTAGTGACTGTACATACTTGATAAGTGTAATGTATGGAGTATGTATACAGTTGTGCTCAGAATTAAGAATATTTTCATAGGGCCTACTAAACACTGAAAGAAGAGACTCCATAGACACTATGAACATGACGGACAATGAAAGCGGACAAAATATACAGTTCCTCAGGTAGACAAAGGAACATCCCTTCACTGCTATTATGTACAAATGTGTAGAACAGGTGAATATGCATGTGACACCTGTTCTACACATTTTTACATAATAGCAGTGAAGGGACGTTCCTTTGTCTACCTGAGGAACTGTATATTTTGTCCGCTTTCATTGTACGTCATGTTCATAGTGAGAGTTTTACTAGAAAGATGATAACAAAATAATAGTAATTCACACTTCATTTACATGTACCTCAAAGAATTTATTTTCTACCTTCTACGGAGCCCCTCCATTTATTGTTTTCAGTTACATCTTTGTATACTATGGGTTTCTAAAAAGTGATATGATTTCTTGTGATACCTTGCCATAATCGAGTATAGATCCTCCAAGGCTTTTATAGTTAATTTCTTCTTTCAATGCCTCGCACTAAATTCTTTTGTTGTTTTAAAACTGAAAATATTTGAGCATAGCAATGATTACAGTATGCTTTATTGTGATATATTTAATTTGACTTGTACTAGTAGTACATGGAATTCTAGCATGTCTCGTTTGTGCATTATATTTTTTGGTAGATTGAACAAGCATTTTGACTAAAAAGGCATTGAGATGGCTGAAAACTTTGAACTTGTTGTTGGTAGGAATCATAAGGAACTGCAGCCAAGATCAAATCATGTGAGATAGGACTTTATGAGAGGGATGTCACTAGTAAACTACCTCCCAAAGAGTCCCAATCCTTTTTGTTTTCATTTTAACTAGTGCTAATTTCAATTGGGGGGTGTTTCACAAAGATCCAAAATTGGACTTATATATTATGGAGAGCCATTTGTAGCCTATATTCAAAAGCAAAACTTCAAGTATTTTAGAGCTTTCATAAATTCCACATCAAGATTATGAAATCTCCCAGGATAATAGAAATGATGAATGATTTGAATCAACATTTTATGCCTTTTAAAATAACTTTTACAAAACTTTAAACTTTCCATAATTATTGAGTCCAACTTAGAGATAATTTCAACTTATATGATCTTTGTGAAACACCCCCCAGATATGACATTGGGAAATAGGAGTTAGATATTATTTATTCACTTTTCTTTTCTTTTCTTTTCTTTATAGGGTTTGGAGATTTAGGGTTTGAACCGAGAGCGTACCTGTTTGGTATTAGTAGTATGTTCCTCCAAGGGATCTATCTCACCCTGGTTCAGCGACTCGGTCTCAAGGACGAGATGTCAACTAACGGCATCCTCTACGTCAACAGCATCAACTGTCTTCCATTCCTCGTCGTTTTCTCCCTCCTGACATCCGAATTCCAGCAATGTTTCATGTTCTTTCAATCAGCGACCATGCAGGTTTATCTGACTCTTGTCTTCGTGGTGACCGCCGGCTGCGTCCTCAATTACTCCCAGTTCCTGTGTACCACGATGAACTCTGCCCTCACAACAAGTATTGTAGGTGTGGTCAAGAGTGTTGGGACAACGATCATCGGCATTTTTGCATTTGGGGGCGTTACCTTGACGACGTACATGATGATGGGCATATCCATGAACATCATCGGGGCGTTCTGGTATACATTTTCCAAGTACAGGGAGAGTTTACTCGGTCACATCAAGAGGATAGGATCTACTATTTCGTTGAGTGAAAAGGGTGGCACTACTGCAACGGATCAAAAACAGCATCTGATGTCTAATGGTCATTCTTCTTGATGTCATCTTGGTATTACCTTGGGGCAATTCCATGCCAAAGTGGACATGACACCTTAACTTTCAAAGTCATCATTTCAACACAATTTTAGTTTCAAATGAAAGCATGAAGTCTATATTTTTCAGATTTGATGGAAAAAATTTACTTTAATGAGAGCGTTGTGGTCTAAATTATGATTGTTTAATTACCCTAATTAAGTCTTCAAAAGTAAAAATTATCACACAAAAGTGTTGATGTCCTACACATAACATGTAACATGCACATGTCATAACAATCATGTTTATAACCTATAAGATATAACAAATGAAGAATTTCATGTTTTTTATTGATTTCAATTGTTTGTTCCACTTCAGTGACTTCTTTATTTCCTCCTTGAAAAAATGTCCTTCCGTTACCTAAAAAAGGTCTTTTTTCAATATTGTATTAAAAAGAGTAGTTGATAAACACTAAAATTTACAATGCAAAGCAAGTTTAGGTAGGCCTACCATTTAGTGTTCATGTAGTCCAAAAATCCTCCTTCGTTAATTAATAAAAATGAATTAAAAATTGTCCTTCCGTTACCAAAGCTGGTAACAGAAGGACAAATAGTGGTAACGGAAGGACATTACATGTAGTCATATGCTGCTTTGAGCCTAAAATAGGAAGATGAAAAAAATGTTTCTGTAGCTGCACTTATCCTTTGGATAAATCTACATAAATCTGTGGTATGTTTACCAGGTGATTTGTGTAATAAATCAAGAACCAACTATTCGATCCAGAAAGCAAGTGCTCAATACATACAGCTCTGTGCTTTGTGCATGCTTGACCACACCCTGAGAGCTTGTGTTGAGATGATGTAGAGTGACTCCTTTTGCTCTAATATACATTGATATCACTTGATTTCTTAAGTACTGAATATTTAGTTCATTCTTCTACAGTATTTGTTACAATCAATGAATACTAATACTGTAATTAAGCAGATTTACGGAGCATTTGGCAGCTATCGCTAAGACATTTTTTTTTCAAGCCACTCCAACTGCCTCTGAGCTGGTAAGTGTATGTTCTTTCCTTTCTCTTTGATGAGTACCTAACTTGTAAAATCTGTAATCATAATGCTTAATAGTGCATTACCTCTGGTTTGAATGTTTTTATTATATTTTGATTTTATATGCTGGTATCAATTATTTCTATTTTCAAGTTGATGTAAAATACCAATATATTTTTGTATCTTGAGACAAATATTATCTAGAGTAATTAAATGGTAATATCATTTTCTCATTGCAACCATTTTATAGTCAAGACTTCAGAACATACAGGTTCTACATGTATGTGACTTTAGTCACTATGTCTGGGCAACAACAAAGTTCAAATGTGATCATATTTAATGACACATATATGCCTACATGTATACTTGGAATGCATTTGTCACATTAAGAGCCTAGATGAGTCTGATTAAACAAATTCTTTGTACATTTTTTAATTTCAACCTTTTAAATTTTTGAGATATTTTTTCCATTTTACAGAATGTCAATATGCCTCTGTCAGCTGCAGAAAAGCAAAGAAGATATCGAGAACGGTGCAAGGGAAAAGGCAGTCACGAAGAAATGAAAGCTAAAGACAGAGTCCGCAAGAAAGAAAAGAGGAAAAGCTTGTCAACAGCTGGTTTAAAGGCCTTAAGAAGAGAGGAAAGAGAAAGAAAGAGACGGGTAAGGGCAAACGATGACAAGGGAACACCAGCAACTACAAACAATAACGAGCAGAGCTACAAAAATCCTCAAAGTTTGGGGAAAGCTGTGAAGCGTGCATCACAGCATCTTCCACTCAGTCCACGAAAGAGGAGCAGGGTCATCAAAACACTGGCCAGGAAATTCGCAGTTCCTACAGAAGATAGTGATTATTCACAAAATGGCCCCACCAAAGTAACTGATGAACTCTGCGAGGCAATTTCAACATTCTACTGCCGCGATGACATTTCCTGGCAGAGTCCAAACCGGAAAGATGTTGTAATTTCAAGGAAAGAAGATGGTACAAAAGAGTACATCCAAAAGCGCTTTCTTATAATGACCTTAAAAGAATGCCACAACTTATACCTTGAAGAAAATCCTGATCAATCTGTTGGCTTATCAAAGTTTTGTTCCCTGCGGCCCTGCCATGTCTTCCTCTCACGTGACTTCCCCCATAATGTTTGCATCTGCAAATATCATGAAAACATCAAGCTTCTGTTGGAGTGTATTGACAAGTCTGTTGCAAGGAAGATTCCAACACATTTCCGTGACTTCATTGCAACAGTGGTATGTGATCAGGAAAAGGAGAACTGCATGTTTGGGAAATGTTCTGCCTGTCGTTCCAAATTTGATGACACCTACTGCTTCCCAGAAGAGGCTGATGATGAGGCTGAATGGATCCAGTGGATTACTGTTGAGGGAAAGGCAACGAAAAGCATTCAGCGAGGTACCTTGAGTGGATGCATAAAAAGTATTCGCCAGCAACTACCCGGGTTTCTCATCCATACCTTCATAAAAAGGAAGCAGAGCGCCCATTTTGAGAGAGAGAAAGACAAAGCCGATGGACGCCACATAGTTGTACAGGTGGACTTCGCAGAAAACTACTCTATCATCCACCAAGATGAAATTCAAAGTGGTCACTGGAACCATGAACAAGTAACCATATTCACAGGATGTGCTAACATTGGTAATGGAAAGGTAGAATCATTTGCCATTGTGAGTGATGATTTGGTCCATGGGAAATACCAAGTGGCCACATTCCTAGAGCACATCATAATGGAGTTGAAGAAATCTTGCCCTGAAATGGAAACAGTATCCTTTTTTTCAGATGGTGCAGCAAGTCAGTTCAAACAGAGGTTTCTATTTGAAAACTTGACATACTTCAGTGAGATGTATAGCATACAGACATCATGGAACTTCTTCGCAACAAGCCATGGGAAGGGAAGTGTTGACGGCATTGGGGGACAAATCAAACGCCTGGTGTTTACTGCGTGTAAAACAGGGGCTTTCATCACAGATCCAAAGTCTTTCGCTACAGAAGCTAAAAAGCATACAACAAAAATCAAAGTGATGTTCGTCCCTGCCACAGATGTAGATGATAGGAAGGATGTTCTTGATGCCAGGTGGGCTAATGTCAGTGCATTGCCAAACACTCATAATACTCATGTAGTTGTCCCTCTGAGGAAGCATATTGTTTCATATGCTGTGTATGCCACCTCAGACTCATACAAGGAGTTTGAACTAATGAAAGCCTGTAAAAATACACCACCTACTGGAGCTACTGGATCATCTCAAGCTATCGAGCACGACCAGGATATTGAGCCACCTGAACCTTCAACATCAGGACCTTCAACATCAGGACCATCGACATCTCAACCTTCCACATCTGGACCTACGCCTTCTTCCTCTGAACTCACTTCAACTGAACTTTCTTCTCCTGGACCATCATCATCGCCTGATAAGCAACCTATCCCAAAACTTGGAGATTTTGTTCTTGTTCAGTACTTGGGAGGAAACAAGCTCAAAAAAGAATTCAAATATGCTGCCCAAGTTATCAGAATCAATGATGAAGACTTCCATGTAATGCATCTCCATAAGGGGGACACAAAGGGCCTCATGTTTAAGGCAAAAGATCATACTGATAAGTATGCTGTGGTTAGCCAGAAACAAATTTTGGAGATACTTCCAATACCAGTAATTGATAAGAGGGGAAGATTTCACTTCCCTACAACTATCTTAGAAGCAAATTAAGATGACAGATGTCAGATGAAATGCCTAGACTTGTTTTGTTTTTGTAATTTTGTTGTAATACAACTTTGTTTGGATGTTTAAAACTCAGTTATGTCACTTTTACAATTGTATAAAGTGAACTGCATTATTTCCTAAGCTGATGATACATTTTCACATCAAGTCACTGTAATTCTTTTTCTTTTTTTGTAAATTTACACTTTTTACTCAGATAGGGCCATTTCTCTACTATAAATGGCAATTTTTTTTAAACAAAATGAATAATTTTCAACGTAACTGGTGCACATGATTTAATTACTATGTAAATACATCTAATTAAGTTTTAATCCCTCTGTATCTACAAATTATATACATGTAGGTGTACATGTGGGTGTGAAATTATGAGAAAAGTACTCATGTGTAATGATATTACCTTGTTCATTACAAATTCATAGTTTGTATTTGTATTGTTGACAGTAATATACTGTACATGTTTATGTACATATCCTTACGTCCTTCCGTTACCGTCCTTCCGTTACCTGACATTAACGGACAAAACATGGAGTAATTAACATACCAATGTATATATTTTAATGTGAAATAAGGTGATGTATATATTAAACTATGGGGAACAAAATGTGTATCAGTCAAGTGGAAAGCTTCATCAACTTCACAGAGTTTGGATAAAAACTAATTAACTGGAAAAACCATGTCCGTTTTTATGTCCTTCCGTTACCGAGGTAATTGATATGCATATTTTTATACCACTCAACTATAATGACAATTTTTTTTGGGAGAATTAAAGGCACTTGTATAGGTATTATATCTGTACTGTTTCACATCTTTTACTAATAAAACAGTTCTTGTAGTATGAACTTGAAGTTCAAAAATCTTGTCTGAATGTCCTTCCGTTACCGTGGAATTGCCCCTTGGTCAGTCTGATGTCTAATGGTCATTCTTGATGTCCTCTTGGTATTACCTTGGTCAGTCTGATGTCTAATGGTCATTCTCGATGTCCTCTTGGTGTGACCTCGGTCAGTTTGACGAGCCGATTCCAAACGGACCGACTGTTGACCATTTGCCATAATGTTTATTGTTGTTAAGTGTATTGTCAGTCTCGTCAATGTGACTGAGGTATATATGTGTATGGGAGTGCCAACCCAATTAATTACTGAATGCTTCTCTTTCCTATGGGCTTAAAGATAAAGTTGAGTTCTTGTCATGCAATTTCATTGTGAAAGAAACGGTATCAGAATCTATCAGAAAAGGTTGATAATCTAGCATACAAGTATTGGTGTGTACTGCAAGGTTCTGCAATCATGAAAATGATAAGAACTTTGGCCCAGTCTTGGTAAAGTTACAAGCACTGTACACAGAATATATGGGGCTACATGAACATGAGCCATGGAAATCCATTCCGATTTTTATGTTGTTACATGCCATATTTATAATATGAAATCATTTAAATAGCCATGCTTTTCACAGAACATTTTTTATCTTTGGTTCTTCCACACTTGCATAATAACAATGATAATGCTCACAATTTAATTTTCACCTCTTCCCAGAACTCAACTTTCCCTTTAAAGATCCTTTCCTATGTGCTTTCATTATGTAGTGTGACATGTGACACACTTTGATGATCCAAATTTTACCCATTGCAAATTTGTGCCTGTTGGTTTCTGTATTAAAGGGGAAGTCCATCCTGATATTGAGTTGGTTTTAATAAAAGCCGAAAAATGTGAGGAACAGGTCAGTGGAAGATTGAGCACAATGCAATTAAAATTTAGAAAGTGATGAATTTTTAATGTTGTCATCAGTGAAACACAAATTGGCAACTCTGTGAAGTATCACATAAGTTCCAACCCAAAATGTAAATAATACATTTTATTTCACCCTAAATATAATTACTGCCAGTATGATTTTTACAGCCATTGTATGGAACACATGTATCCCGTCATCAATAACTAAGAATATGAAAGTTTATGAAATTTTCTGTACAGAGCTAATTGAGGAAGAGCTTGCAAGATATGTCATAGTGTTGCCAATTTGTGTAAAACTTAACGACAACTTCAAAAATTCATAACTTTCCTATTTTTAATCACATCCTTATGAATAGTAGATGAAATGGGCATTAGAGAAACTGCCATCCATAAGGCCTAATAATCATTCAATGATTATTTTTATTTATGATTAAATGATGAAATCGTATGGGTAGTAGACAAACTGAAAATTGGACTAAATGAGCAATAGACCAAATGGGTAGTAGACTTATTGGCGATAAAACCCATTGGTAAGTAGACCATATGACTATTGGCCTAAATGAGCAATAGACCGAATGGGTAGTAGACTTATTGGCGATAAAACCCATTGGTAAGTAGACCAAATGACTATTGGAAATTAGACTAAATGAGCAATAGACCGAATGGGTAGTAGACTTATTGGCGATAAAACCCATTGGTAAGTAGACCAAATGACTATTGGAAATTAGACTCAATGAGCAATAGACCGAATGGGTAGTAGACTTATTGGCGATAAAACCCATTGGTAAGTAGACCAAATGACTATTGGCCTAAAAAGTCAATAATCATTAGACCAAATGATGTACATGTAAATATGGGTCACATGTGATTGTTACGTCTGATATATGATTGTGAAGGGAGTTATGAACTTCCATGCTTTTTGTTTTTCACTACAGTATTAGATTGTTAAAGAGGTCGAGAGTAGAGATATTAAAAATCATGATAATTAATTATTTTGTTTTTAAAAGTGTATGATCCCTTTTCAGTCACAATAACTGATAATAGTGCTTTCCAGTTTGATATTGTACTGGGGGTGTTTCACAAAGATCCTAAGTTGCACTTATCTCTAAGTTGGACTTTAAAATTATGGAAAGCCGTTAGCATCTTCGAAAATATTTTGTAAAAGTTATTTTAAAAGGCACAAAATGTTAATTCAAATCATTCATATTTTCTATTATCAAGGAGATTTCATGTTCTTGATGTGTATTGTGTAATTTATGAAAAGTCTAAAATACTTCTATTTGTGATTTGAATATAATTCATTTTAAGGCTACAAATGGCTCTCCATAATATTTAAGTCCAACTTAGAGTTAAGTTTGACTTACATGTAGGATCTTTGTGAAGCACCTCCCTGGTCTGATATTTATGATCTTCCATGCCTATTGGCTTCCACTACATTCTATTGAATTTTTAATGAGGTTGAAATCTAAGATATTCAATAATAATAATCATGATAATAATTTATTGATTTGTTTTTATATGATGTGTTTCCAGTTGCAATAACTGACCTTAGTGCTTTCCAGTTTCCAGTTTAATATTTTCCAGGTAATTGGATTAAAAAAAAACATGAATGTTACAATAATGGTAGATTTTAAACTTTCAGTTTCAAGTAATAGTTTTTGAATATTCATGTTATTATTATGAACTTTCAAAATGATATTATTATATATTGTTTCAATTTTCAAAGGGTCATGCTATGCCCAATGTTGGTAAAAGTCTAAGGTGCAAAATATTCAGATTGACTAATGGAGTGAAACTAAAAGCTTTGAAGATTTGTGACACAGAGTCGCTAATGTACAAAAGTGCAGTCAATTCAAACTGAATTTAAATATTAACTGTATTACAGTGGCGGATCCAGGGGGGGGGGGGGGCCCGGGGGGTTGGGCCCCCCCCCCCCTGGCGCTCAAGGGGGGGGTGCAAATTGAAATTTTTTTGAGGATCAAAACAAAAAAATGTGCTCACTACCCCCCCCCCCCACCCCCCCCCTTTTGCTTTTTAAATTGAGAAACCTGACCATAGATTTGAAAGGATAAAAAAGTATACGGATATTAACAATTATTGCTATATGAATTCAATGGTTTTATGTTTTGGATACAGATATTAAAGCGGGACTGCACTACTTGTAGCTTCTTGCGCCCTCTATATAGCAAAAAATGCCTAATCGGTGACCGCTGGTCCCCCATGGTCCCCTTTTTCTTATTTTGGATGAGAGCTGATTTGATGAGATAACCACCTGTCAGTGACCACGCTGGGTGTTCTAATCCCTCCTGACCAAACTAGTGCAGATGGGCTTTAAAAAGTGTGTGATATGAACTATCATGGTTTTATGTTTGAATGAGATGGTGTAAAGTTTGAACTACATAACACGCTTATCCTTGGTCTTTTTTTAAATATGCCAAATATATTGCTTTTATAAAGCTGTTACGTTGTCATGGCTGATGAATGTATGTGCAATGAATTTAATTGACGTAGTAATCAGGGTTGAAGTCAAGTTCGTCGTCATCATCGTACGAGTCATGACTGACCCTTAGTGACCCTATTGATGATGACGTTCCAACCACTGCTGTCCTGGGCATAGCGATGAACTGTGTAGATGTTCATGCCAGTAATATCTTTTATTCCATTAGCCCATCAAACTTTTGACCTACCACGTTTTCGTTGACCCTCAACATGACCTTTGGTAATGATCTTCTCCAGGTTGTCACCTTCTCTCCTACATGTAGAAGTCAAAGTAGGCCTTAGGGTGGTATTCTCGAAAGCGGACTAACTTTAGTCCATGGTTTAATCCACTGACTACCGACTAAGTAAGAGTGCAACCCCCCCCCCCCCGCCCTCCCGCGCAAAGCACGGAAGCTTTGACGGTTCAATAAATTATTACTCTTAATCCTTGTCTATATTCATTTTCGCTCATCTCGCGCGAAGCGCGAAAGCGTTACCGTTTTATTAAATTATTAGAGAAGGAAGACGATTCGTTGTATCGTGTCCTTGTCTTAATTCAGTTCCCCCCCCCCCCCATATACGGTTGTCTCATTTATTTCGTAAATATGTATGTATTCTGAAAATGAGATAGCAAAATGTGTATATTGATGGTCATCTTGCGAGTTATAACCATGAACTACTCTCATCGGGCTCTCATCATTAATTTTTTTTTTCTTTGTTATGGTGAATTATTGGGGGGGGGGGGATGATTGTACAGGCCATCCCCCATCTGAAATAATGGGGGGATATACCCCCCCCCCCCCCCATCCCCCGGGATCGACACCCATGTAACTATGTTTTATCAAAGAGGTATCATATCATTTATTCATACATTTTCATTAAACTGTCTATAATGTTCTTTGTTTTCAAAATTGAAAATTCTCTGAAATTGTTATTCCCGCCACGCTTGGAACTTACAAAGAGGTTTCACGTTGTAATAGTATATCAGACTCAGTAGGCTTAATCGTACATTGTATGCCTTTGAATGTTTGTTTATGTACCATAATGTACTAAATTGCTCTGGATAGTGAACTGAATTAATTTTCTGACGTACATGATCCAGTATTTCTGTAATATGTTCACGTGTCTTTGTTAAGACATTTGTAAGGGAATTTTTGAGGGAATTACAAATCATGATTACAAAGACATTTTAATATATCTAAACTAATTTTAACAGCCTTGTGCTTCGCTTTTGGAACAGGCGAACATTACAACGACATTTTCCAGGAGCAGAACCTAATTTCTATTGTGTAGATGTCTACAGTATATATGCAATTGAAATTGCCCATGTTTAAATATCTTGAAGTAGTTGTGATCATGTTTTTAATAGACAATTGATCAGGAGATCCGTCTGTGTGAGTATGCGACCTCGATGCAAGTTGTTTTAGGGGACGTAAAACAGGGTAAATTTGATTATGAGCTTAATTATACTTTTTTTTTATTGATTCTTCTCTTTTTTACGTTTGCATTTTACTTTTGCTCTTTACTTTTTGATGTATATTTCGACTTTCAAATTCACAGTTTTTTCATTTGTAAATGAGCAAATTATTGATTGCACTCAGAAAATTGAAGTGGGATTTAGATTTTGTGTATGTGTTCTGGTCGTTTTTGAAAGATCTGTTGTAACTTATTCATTGTTTCTTCACAAACAGTGGTCTGGGAAGCATACTTGCGTGGTCAAATGTTTATTTTTATTAAGCTATTCTGTAAAACTTTTCCCTCAAATTTACAAAGCAAAACCCTCTCCATGTTTTAAT